ATAATAAATAACATGCTTACCCTTACAAAATTTGTAACTACAAATGATTTAAGGATATGAACACTGAAAATATTATTTTTCAAAACGTGTTGCTGTAAAAATTATAGTCTGAAGAACTTGTAACTCCTTACACACCTTGATTACTAAACAAAACTGAAAATAAATGTAGTATATATTGATTAATAAGTTAGAAATAGAATAGCAAAACAGCAACAGTAACACCAGCACAAAGTAAATGGGAAAATTAATAAAAAATAACTGCATATAATTTCAAAATAGAAAAATTGATAAATTGAAGCCTATTGTTGAAAAAAATTATTGAGGGTATTAGAAACAAACAGACCTCAAAATGTTTACTGGTTCAAGCACACTTAAAGTTCCTCATTCATATAATAGTATAAGGCAGATGAGCTTAGTAGGCAAGGGATGCTTTGCTTCTACATGGTCATTCAGGGCTCTTCAGTCTTCAATAAATTGCACCCAAAGTTGCACTGGTTATCTCATTTTTTGTCCACTGAAAGGAGAAACAAACATTGAGGAGTGTACATGGAAAATTCCTAAATGTCAGATCTGCAAATGTCACACATACCATTGGCCAAAACTCATATAATTACTCTAAATTGTCTGTCTACTTCAGCAAGAAGGTCTGGAAAATGTAGTCTGTTTTTGTGCCCAGAAAAAAAAAAAACAGAATGCAGATTATGGTACATAGCTATCAATTTGCTATGTTTAGTAAGTCTGTTCAAGAACAATGAGAGACAGAAGAATTACACAATGTTCAAGAGAAGTAGGTATAACATGAAAATTTCACAAGGTGAAAACCTAACAAATATCACTGGTGACACTTAAAAATAATTTGAAAAAAAAGATTATCTAGAAGAAAGTACTAAATTGATTATAGGAGAAATTTTAAAATTCTAGTAGAATCCAGGTGTGTTGGCACATGCCTGTAATCCCAGTGGCTGGCTCAGGGGGCTGAGGCAGGAGAAAGGATTGGGAGTTCAAAGCCAGCCTCAGCAACTTAACAAGACCCTGTCTTTAAATATAATATAAAAAGGGGTGGGATGTGGCTCAGTGGTTAAGGCCCCCTGGGTTCAATCCTGGTATCCCACCCCAAAGTTTAAATAGATAAAAAAATGGAAGAAATTAAGTTAATGGAAAATAAGGTTTATCAGGTATATTATTAAAAGCCTGCATGGAATAAATATTGTCATGATATTTTTAACAGTTCCAGAAGATCATCCTAATTTTGAATGAAATAAATATCAAAATTCAAAGAAAAATGCATATTATAAAGTTACTGAATAACATCACTTATGACCTTAGGATAAAAATTTTTAAAAAATGGTAGCAAATTGAGTATATCACAACTAAACACAATTTATGCCAGGAATAAAAAATAATTCAATACCAGAAAATTTATTATATGAACTATTTGATCTATAGGTTTAAAAATAATTCCTCATAAAATGTATCTAAAAATTATGTGACAAAATTGAGCATCCATAACTAGATTTTTTTAGACCTCAGGAAACTATGGTAAAAGGATATTTCCTGAACATGATACAAATCGTATATCTGGAACCAATACTCATTCTTAGAAACAAGAGAAGGATGACCATTATCAACATAACATAATTCTGCAAGTAATTTTCAATGCAGTAGAACAAGAAAAAGAAATAAAACGTAGAGCCAAGCATGTGGATGCATACCTATAATCCCAACTACTAGCGGGACTGAAGCAGGAGGATCATAAGTTCAAGGCCAGCCTGAGCAACTTAATGAAACCCTGTCTCAAAATAATGGTGAAAAAGAGCTGAGGTGTAGCTCAGTGGTAAGAATGCTAAGCTCTTGTTTCAATCCTCAGTACCTAAATAAACAAATAAATAATATAAAATCTTAAAAATAAATAAGACTTACAAATACTGACCAGAAAGAGCAGCATTTTTATACATACTACATACTTTATAGAAATACTTTATTTATAAATTTCACTCTTGTCTATTTGTAATTTTAAAATTCAAGGCGATTAACTGGAAAAAACCCATTGGAACATGAGAGTAAAGTAATATGTTGTGGTAAAAATAAAATTTAAAATATATAGTTTTCCATCAAATAAATAATAACCATTTAGAATATATGCTGAAAATGTAAACTCTTTAAGAAACATAATAATATGATACAAAACAAGAATCTGTATAATACTAGAAAATGTAATATTTTAAAAGCTTACTAAAGGACTTAAAAAAATACTTGCATGAACAAACCAACCTCCATGTTCCTAGAAGGGGAAATGTCATAAGCTTTCAGGATTGTAATATTTCAATGTCATTAGATTTTTAATTTTTTGCAATTTAATTTTCAGGTTTAATACAGTTTCTATTCAGAGCCAAATAGGATTATTTGGGGAGAGGGATCTGATACAATGATCCTTATGTTCACATAGAAAATATATGCACAAGAATAGCCAACATCATTCTGAATAACAAATACTAGGGAGTGTTTTGCCCTTTCAGATATTAAAACATTATAAAGCTGCAGTAATTAGAACATTTGTTACCATTGAAGGACTAGAAACCAATAATAGAAGAAATAGATGCAACTATACATAAAAACTTGCTATATAATAAAACTTGCTATACAATAAATCATTTCAAATTAATTGCAAAATAGTTCAATAAAATATAGTAAAAAATAAAATTTGATAATTTTCTTATAAGCATACATCAAAATATAAAACAGGTAGAAAAAAGAGTTAAACATAAGAATGAAAGCAAAAAACCTTGGCGAAAGTGTCAGAATATTGATATAGGCCTTTTCCCCTAAGCATCAAGGAAAAGATGGATATAATATATATGATTACGTAAAACCTAAAATTTCTTTAAAGTACTGTAACTAAGATAAAATATTAACAATGTTAAAGGCATTTGCAACATAACAAACATCTGAGGGGTTTATGTCCTAAATACATATAAAAGTTTCTTACAAATGAATAAGATGAATACTTCCATTTTTTTAAAAAAAAGGAATTAAAAACTGGAATAAACAATTCAGGTTCAATGAATATCTATTGTTTTCGTTTTCAGTACTACCCTTATTCTGGAAACTCTCCTTCTTCTTATTCCAATCACATGATTTGAGATTTTTACATGTTCCTTCTTCCCTAAGTATAGTTGATTGGCCCAAGGAGAGCATGTTTTTTTAAAGATTTCCCAGCTCCTACTTTCAAACTGAACTCCACGTCTGAATATACAAAGCTATCACCAATGAGGTCAGAAAAAAATTGTTTCCTCTTATTTAGAAAGATCTATATTTCCTAAAAGTTGTAAATTACAATTACACTTCACTATGATTGAAAAGCTTCCCAATTCCCATATTGGGATATTAGAGTAGGGAAGCTGGGGAAAATACCAAGTTATAGTGTTGAGCTTATTTTTTGGAGGGAAGAAGTTCGATATCCTACTTCTGTAGCTTTGGGAGTGTGTTGTCTGTGTTGGTTCAAAATAGAAGATTACATAGTGGTATTTAAAATAAATAACTCAGATATCTGATACAGGTATTCTTGGGAGTAAAATCAAGGAAGCACAAAAAGTCTGCAAAGGTGAGGTGAGGAAAACAAGTGGGGATTAACAAGCATCACTAATAGCTACTTTACCAATCGAATCCTCCTCTTCAAAACCACAAAGGTAGTAAAATACAGTATTTGGTGTACCTTCTCCTAAAGGTTCTTTCTTGGAGAGCTGAGGAGAGAGCTGAGAGTTGAGCAGATGTCTCATGGGGTGAAGAATGATTATTTGCATTTCTGGAGGTAGAGTTGTCTACAGTGAGGCTCATTTCTACTCCTGTCAATTTGTCTAGCTCTTTGTATCTGAAAGAGTTCTGGACTTTGGATATTTTCAAGTAAGTAGGTAGAATAAAGGCTCATGGGTCAATAACATGTAAGCAGCATACGTTTTTCAAAAGAAAAACTAGGTCGTTGATCACATAAATATTGAAATAGGTACCAACAATAATTTTTAGAAGCATAATAAGCATAATAACAAAAGAGTAAGATGATACAGAAACAACTAAATGAAAAGATTATGTTAAAATAAAAGTAAAGATAGATGGGATAATAGAATGACTGCAGAATGAATTTGTGAAATGGAAGATTGAGGAAATCTCCAAGAATGGTAAGGGACAGAACAATGAAAAAATATAAAACGAAGTTTAGGAGGTGTTAATAATAGAATTAGATGCTGGCATGTGGATAACTGGAATATGAGAAAAGGAAAGATAATAATAAAAAAGGAAAGGAAGTATCGAAGGAATAATAAAGATAAATTTCCAAGAAACGTTGTATTTCTCAAGCTTATAAAATGAGAAATTTGACTTTGGAATGTTATAGACAATGTATAGCATGGAATGGTATAGGTAAGAGGAATTTTGACAGTCTTCAAATGCTGCTAAGAAAAAACCCCAAATAAGTAGGTAGTCCATGAGGGATGATGAAAATGAGGGGTTCATCAATGGAGCTAGACTGTGTTGGAAAGAGGGAAAACGGATATAAAGGGGCCAACTTAGAGCAAAGGAAAGTAGTTGTCGTTATTGCAAAAGAATGGGAGAAAGAAATGGTGAGGAAGACAAGAAAGTTAGAAATTTTCATGGCAAAAGTAGAGGGAGTTCCTGTCAGATGAATTCATGTTTGTGAAGCAACAGGCGATTTGCTGACAGTAAACCCTAATTCAGTGCTCGTAGATTCTTTTTGTTGCTTTGTATCCGCTCGTTTCCATGGATTATTATATAGCGTTTGACGTTACCACAATTGTTGCAGACACAATGTATGACAGACCCCACGACACTCCAGTCAGAACTACCACTCCCGGAATGCAGTACGGCTCCGGGGAAGTGCCAGAGGCTTGGAACACAGCAGAACCATACCGCCTGCTCCCATTGGAGGAGCGCTTACGCTCCCAGGAGCCCACGCGTAGGCGGGGCGCTTTACACGGAAGTCAGCAGCGTCCGGTCCTATCCTCCGTGTACCGGCAGACAGCAACGCAGAGCCGCCCGATCCTCTTGGTCTCGAGCTCGCTTGCATTTACAAGGTGCCGGACTGGTAAATGGAGTGGGGCGTGCCCTGCGGGAGGGAGGAAACCTCGGAGGAAGGGAGGGAGAAGGTATAGACAGGAAGGTGCTGAATGGTGCGAGGAGGCATTGCAAAGGTGACTTAGGTTTCTCTATGTCGGCAGTTGGAATTGTCGGGCACATCCAGTTTGGGCGAAGTGCGTTGTTTTTGTTTTATGCTGCTGAAAAGGCCTCGAGTTTAAGAATGTCAGAATGCGTCAATTAAGTTGTCATTATGGGTTAGGAAATGTTAACTTTATCCCTTAATTACCGTTGTGCAAGACCTTTCTGTAGTATCTCACTCTCTTGAAATCGCCAGTCTTCTAAAAACTCTTTATACCCTTGTTCGATGACGTCACTTTCTGCTTCACCTTTTTCGGGCTGATCTTGCTCCTTTGTCAACTCTTACCCCATGAGCCCTTCCTACATCTCCCAGTGTTGACATAGCTCAGTTTGAGTAAGACCTATTTCTCTTCCCAGACCTATTTTCTCAGCGTCAGAGATGTATGTTATTGTAATTTTTGTTGATGACCAATATCTATCAAATTGATCATGTACTTTACTCTTTGATCAATACTTCATAGCTCCCTCTCCCATAATTTCCACAACCAATCAGTTACCAATTCATTTTCATTCTGCCTTATTAACTGGCATCTACTACTTGTACCACCATTCTCCCATCTTTAAACCCAGAAACTACTATCACTATCATGTTTTACACAATTCTTTCACTTTCAATAACTGTGGCTGAGGCCAGGTTCATTCATACACTTAACAAATATTTATTGAACAGCCGATATATGCTAGACACTCTAATAAGGGTGGGCATTATGGCTAGCTGTAAACAAGACATAAGAAATTGCTACTGTCACAAATTTGCATATTTGATAGGCAGGGGGAAAAATCAAAGTGATGTTTTAAATTGTTTAATACAAAATAAAATATGTGCTTGACTTGACTGGATAGTCTTATCCTCAGAAAGTAAGAGGGATTGGGTTCAGTCTCAACCATTGTCCAAAAAGAACATTTTTGATACCAATAAGATAGTTTTGATCTGTGACTGCACTTTAAACACCTCATCTGTCTCCCTATCATACCAGTGTTCCTTCTTCTTTTTTATATTTTTTATGGTTATAGATGGACAAAATGCCTTTATTTTATTTATTTTTATGTGGTGCTAAGAATCAAACTCAGTGCTTCATACATGCTGGGCAAGTGCTCTGCCACTGAACTCCAGCCCTTGTTCTTCATTTTTTATGTCTTCTCTAACATTATAACATCAGAATTTATGGTTTATCTGTCTTTTTCATGTCTATTCCTCATTATATTATGGTTCCATTAAGTATAGTAGTCCCTTCTTCCTCACCTTTGAATGGCAGTTCTACTACTTTGGCTGTCATATAGTAAACCATTGGTATATATGTAATGAATTGAAACAGACCTCATTTAATCAAATTCAAATAGCTTGATTTATACAAAGTCTTCTCTATATTAAGCCATCAACCTTATTCCTCAACCTTTTTGTTCACCAAATGTGCTTTCTTCCATCTCATCAGATTGGTTTATTTACTCTCCTTAAGTTTTTTTTTTCACCTCATGCCTTCTCTTGTTTCATGCATCCCTTCTAAAATGAGTTTTTTATCTCTTTCCAGAGTATTTTGTGCCCCACTCATTAATTTAGTAGGGCAACTAATTTAATAGTATGCTCATGATACAAGATAGAAAAAAAACCCTTAATTTCCATTGTATATGTCCTCTGAAACTTTCTGCAATGAACTGTTGTAAGAATTAACATATCTCCTTTTAATAATATAGTAATACAGAATGCTTTCTTTGGTTTTTCATTGACTATTACCATGTGCTATATGATTAATTAAATTCTGTTTCTTTGAACAGTTGCACAACCTTTGTTCATACACCACATATAGTATAATTTGTTTTTCACTAGATACAAATGCATCTTTGAGTACTATTTTCTCATAGGTCTGAGATAATTTTTTAAGAATATTTTTGTTTTAGTTGTAGTTGGACACAATACCCTTTTTTTGTGTGTGTGGGGCCGAGGATCGAACCCAGAACCCTGCACATGCTAGGCAAGTGCTCTACTGCTGAGCCACAACCCCAGCCCTAGTCTGAGAGAATTTAATGTTACTCTGCTATACTGTCATTTTCAGAGTCTTAGATAAAAGACTCAATTCTAAAAATGAAATTAAAGTCTTATTTCATGTAATATCTTTCAATTGTAAATTATTACTACTGACCACAACTTTTAAACTGTTTTAAAAATATGACAGGAATATAAGAGTATTTGAGTCATGATTGCTTTATGATTTTAGGAATGTATCACCCTAAGATCAGCCAGACATGTTTCTAAGACATTAAAAATTAAGCCTTATCATTTAGGGGGATTTTTTGGCACCTTTGCCTTCATAGTCATGAACACAAATGCAGCCCTAAATTGTGTGTCTTTGCTTATTTATAATGTATACATATTTATGATCTAGAATACTCTTATACATTTTAGTGTTATTTGACTACTGAGGTAGAGATAAAAGTACTGTAGCTACCAGCCAAGGAACACCAAGAATTGCCAGTAAACTAACAGAAACTAGAAAGAGACAAAGACAGATTCTCCCCTACAGATTTCAGAGAGATCATAGCCCTACCAATACCTTGATTTTAAACTTCTGGCCTTTGTGAGCAGATAAATTTCTTTTGTTTTAAGCCACACATTTTGGGGTACTTTGTTATAGCAGCCACAGGAAACTAACTAATAGAAGATTATTAGCAGGAATGAAGTATAATTGGGAAGATGGCTCTTGGACCAAGTGAGGAGTGAATAAGAAAACAGGGAGGAACAGTGTTGAAACAGGGCTTTCTTTTATATTTCATTATCTTTTTTCTTCTCTCTGGCTTATCTTTTCATTCTTTTTCTTCATAAGTATTATATTTATATAGCACTCTGTAGTTTTAGGCATTCATATATTGCTAATAATTAGCAGAGCTAGATTTTGTGACTTCAAATACAGTATTCTTTCTGACATTGTTGTTTCTCTTATTTCAATACTCATAAAGATGTTACACATTCAACTTCAAGAGTGTTTCATTGCAGGCAGGTGAGACTTGATTATAGGTGGGATGTTTGATAGTATAGGACAGGGGAAGGATCTCCTATTAATGACATATAAAAGGAAAGTTAGGTTTCTTTTGCTGTGTACCAACAAAGAGTGATTTGTAATTGGGAACTACTTTTATTGACTAAAACACTGTGTCTCTGTAACTTATATTCTTTATTCCTGGGAAACTCAAAATTTACTAGAGAGAGGAGAAAGTCATCAAGAAGACAGAAAAAGCAGCTGGAGATGTAGAGTGTTTCAAGAAGGAGGACTGGTTAATGGTGTTGACTATTTCTGGAAAACCAAGTAGAAAGAGAATAGAGAAGTGAGTGCTGTGTTTTGCAATATAGAGGCTGTTGATTATCTTAGGAAGCATGGTTCTGTGGAGTGCCAAGGCAAAAGCCAGAGTATTGTAAGTTGAAGAGTTAAAATGGTGCATGCCTGTAATCCTAGTGGCTTGGGAGGCTGAGGCAGGTGGGTCATGAATTCAAAGCCAGTCTCAGCAATGTAGCGAGGGTTTTTTTTTTTTTTGGCTTAGTTGCCCTAAGCAACTCAGTGAGACCTTGTCTCTAAATAAACTGCAAAAAAGGGCTGTGGATGTAGCTCAGTAGTTAAGTGCCCCTGGATTCAATCCCTAGTGCCAAAAAAAAATGTTAAGAAATAGGTACTGGATACTGGAACATGTTATATGGTTAAGGGAGATTTAAGGATCAAAGGTGAAAAAGTATGAGACAGTGATTTGGAAACTATAGCTTGCTACATATATGTAAGGAGAATTCCAGTAAAAGATGATTGAGGACATGATCCTGAGGATCAACTTCATTTAGAAAATAAGATTGAAAGGAGGGGAAAGGAGGGGGCAAGGGTTGTAAAAAAGATGGTGGAATGAGATGGACATTATTTCTCTAGGATCATGTATGAAGACATGAATGGTGTCAATATATTTGTATACAACCAGAGATATGAAAAAATGTGCTCTATATGTGTAATATGAATTGTAATGCATTCTGCTGTCATTTATAACAAAGTAAAAATTACAAAAAAAGAAAATAGAATGGAGAACACAAGAGGAGTTTAGCTGAAGAGACAGATGGGTGCCTCCTTCTATTTACTGCCCTTTGGTACTGGAATTCCAGTCAGGAATCTGCAGATTCCCTGGCCCCAAGCATTCTCTCCTGTGTTTACAAAGTATGAATTACCTGCATTCAGACAAGACTGTTTCAGATACAGATTCCAGGGTCCCACCTAAAGCTTACAGAATCAGAATTTTAGGAGATGATGCCAAGAATTTGAGTTTTAGAAGTGGCTCTCATTCTGCCACCCAAGGTGATTCATACCCTCACTACAGTTTGAGAACCACAGGCCTGTTGGGTGGAAATAAACATGTTAACAGATAACATGAGGCTGAAGAGTAAATTGAAGACTAATAAGGTGTTTATTCATGTCTATAAGTTTATGCCATTAAATAAGGGAAACTGGTCTCTTGTTGGGGGAGGGGATAGCACATATGCACAGTCAAACATAAGGAAAATAAACTCATGCCATATTGTTTTAGGAATTTTTTGTTTATACAAGATATTACCATAATTTATAAAACCATTTCTTTTTTGTGAAAGGTTTCGGTTACTTTCACTTTGTTTCTATTACAGATAATGCCTTTATACTAGAGGTAGTATACCATAGTCTAACATTGTATTTTCTGAAATCATACTGCCTCAGAGTAAGTCATAGCTCTATCACTTACTAGCTGTAATTTTGGGGAAATTATGTAAGTCATCTGTGCTTCAGTTTCCTCATCTATAATAGGAATATTGTAATATTATATAATCATATTGAGTTAGGAGGATTAAATTAATTAATAATTTAAAGCACGGGGTGCAGTAGCTCACACCTGTAATCCCATCAGCTTGGGAGGCTGAGGCAGGAGGATCATGAGTTCAAAGCCAGCCTCGGCAACTGCGAGGCACTGAGTAACTCATTGAGACCCTGTCTCTAAATAAAATACAAAATAGGGCTGGGAATGTGGCTCAGTGGTCAAGTGCTCTTGAGAGTTCAATCCCTGGTACCAAAAATAATAATAATTTAAAGTACTTAAAACTGTTGCCTGTCATATAGTGAACATTTAATAAATGTGGGCTATTGTTTTTAATATCTACATTTTTGAATCTAGAGTCTAACTTTTGTTAAACTGGTTCCCTAGGATAAATTTTCAGGAAGGGATCATTATGTTAAAGTATGAAGACATCTTTATGTCCTTTTGCTATCGTTGGTCATTGCTTTTCAAAAAACTTATCATTCTTATGTGCATATCAGTATGGCTTAGGTTGTAAGCTTGTAGAAGACTATGACCTTGGATTTTTGTTTTGTTTTGTTTTGGGGTTTTTTTTTTTTTTTTGGTGTTTTTTTTTTTTTTTCAGGAGCAGGGGTACTGGGGATCAAACCCAGGGTCTTGTACATTCCAGGTACACACTCTACCACAGAGCTCTGCCCCCAGCTCCTATTAGGTCTTTTGTTAATTTTCATGTTCTAGTACTGCATTCAGTATTGTCTCTAGGTATATTTTGATAAATGATAGTAAGTTACTTTTGAAAGATCATGTCAAAAATATTCTAAATCTGTCTTTTTTTCCTTTTAATAGATTGACACCATGGCCATTCTTTTTGCTGTTGTTGCCAGGGGAACCACTATCCTTGCCAAACATGCTTGGTGTGGAGGAAACTTCCTGGAGGTGACAGAGCAGATTCTGGCTAAGATACCTTCTGAAAATAACAAATTAACATACTCACATGGCAAGTGAGTTCTGCTTTACATCTGGTAGAGGGTGAAAGAAAGGAATTCTGCTCTAATCAGAATAGTAGAAAGCTAGAAAGCAAGCTTCTAGGTAGTTTAACCTGAGTACACTCATAGAACAGTAACTTTCACCAGCTTCGAAAATATCTGACTTTATTATTTATATTTTTAACTTGTGATTATTTTTATTCTATCATTGAAGTGATATTACTATTTTAAAGGAAGATATGAAAATGTTAAACATAAAAATCTCTTTGCTATGGAGTTCTTGGATAGGTAAAATGGTATATATAAAATAAATAATATTTCTTATTTATTCTTTAAGTAAATATTTACTGAGTCCTTAACTATTGATAGGTACTTTGCTTGGTGATGGGGAAACAACAAGAAAGGCAGTATTTTCCCTCAATGAAATTAGAGTTTAATGAGGGAGATGGTCAATCCACGATTATATTAGAGATTAGTAGGTAATGGCATTTCAGGTAGAAGGAATAGCAGGTAGAGAAGCATGTAGACATGAGATCATATTTTGGGAACCGCATGTTATTATTCTGTGATTGGTACTCAGGATGGTAAAGATAAATCCAGAAAGATGGGTAGAAGAAAAGTCATGTAGGGCCTTGTAGGGCATGTTAAGAGTATGGACAGCCAGAAGGCATCAAAAGTTTTCAGTCAGTTATGACAGCTTTTGCTTTAGAAAAATGTACTGGTGGCTTGTTGAAAGGACATAAATGGGAAATCTTGGTAAACCTTCCTCATTGATGCTTAAAAATCTTTTGTTACTTAACCCATCCTTATTTCCTTAGTTCTTATTTCAGAAGGAGATCCTTAATACTTTCTATGGCTAACCACTTTTATAATTTATAGTCCAATCTAAACTATTATGAGAGAGACCCCAAGATGTAGAATTAATTTAAATAAGATAGTTCAGAGGTGAGTGGTTCAGAGCTGGTGGGATGGCTCTGCCATTCTCAATCAGTGCCTTCCAACTCTTGAAAAAGCAGCTTCTTTCAGTTTTTCTTATAACTCAGTGCTTTTCCAATATTTTTTAAAGGTAAGGCCCAGAAGTGGCCTGACATTTTATTGTACACTGTGTAGTCATGTAGGTAACTCAGCTAAGAGGGAGACCAGGAGATATCATCTCTGTCTGTGTGGTCAAAATCTCGGCTAAAGCTCCATGACTCTAGAGGAACTTAAAGATATCAGAAAATGGATTTTAGTCTTCCATTCTACTCCTACAACCATACAAATATCTGAGTGAACTCCTCTTTTCAAACATAGAATATGCCTCTTCTCTGAGAAATGTAACTGTAAAGACTCATCTGGTTGTTGCATTTTGTTCTTAGTCCAGAGATTTGGGGTAATACTTGGTCCTCTCCATCAGGCCCAGGGGTTGCTCCTGTGGCTCACAGACTGTAAACTAAATAATAAGTCATATGTTTCACCTTCTCTCCCAGCCCAGTACTATAAACAATGGTGAAATAAGAAAAGAATCACCAGAGTGAGAGTTAAAAACTTTCATTTGGGAAATAGAAGAGAAAGAAATATGTAGAAGCTATTGCCTCCTGTCAATGATCAGATAACTGCTTCACAGAAATTTCAAAGACTCTCTGTTCTGACTGGGGAGTGATTAGTGGTTCTTCTTTCTCCCTGACTCCCGCATTTGTTGTCCAGGAGGTTCTTCCTAGTCTATTGTCTTTTTGCCACATCCAGAATGGATATTGGAGAATGTGTCATTTTCAGGAACTGTATAGGTTTTGTAGTCTGCTTTCTGCATTGTGGGTTTAGGGGCCCAGAGATTGTTGTAAGGGTTAAATAACCCCAGCCTCTTATGAGTTCAGCTTTGTAGTTTCTTTTTTTTTTTTTTTTTAGCTTTGTAGTTTCTTCAAAAACTTATTAGGCTTACAAAGTGTGTGTTTATAGTCAATTCCCAGGAAAATGCTCAGGGGAAAGCATATGGAATCCTTTTAGAAGTAGGGCATATATCTTTCACTCATAATATTATGTGCCAGAGCTTAATAACATAGCTACATGTAGCTACAAGGGAAGCTAAGAATACATAATCCAATTAGAATGTAAATTTTAGTAGAAGAAAATACTATCTGTCTGCCTCTCATCTGTGTCCTGATTCAGTTCTCCCTTGTATCCTCTGAGGTGAGGCTCTATCACTGAGATTTCTTTTTTTAAAACTGGTGACTTGGTTTCTGTCCTATAATCATGTTCCATCATCTCAATAAAATATCATTTATTACTGTATGTTAAACACTTTTCCCCTGAAATCTATTCTTGTTTACTGTAACAACATCACTAGCCACTCAGTTGACTAACCCTAAAACTTTAGAATAATATTTAACTTCTTTACCAGTTCCTTACCATTCTCCTACAACATGTTTTTCAATCCATTATGTTTCCTCTATCCCATTGTCACAATGTTAATTTAGGCCTTCGTTATTTGTCATTTCAGATAGCTTTCTCCTGACTGGTCTTCTTGCTTTTGGTTGCTCCTACCTTAAATCTGTAGTTCAAATTCCCTTGATGATACTTTCTTGCTGTGAGGGTTAAATAGCCCCAGCCTCTTATGAGTACAGTTTTGTAGTTTCTTCAAAAACCTATTAGGCTTACAAAGTGTGTATTTATAGTTTATTCCCAGGAAAATGCTCAGGGGAAAGCATATGGAATCCTGTGCAATTTTGTCCATTCCTGACCTTTTTTTATTATCTATATAAGAATTCTTGCCATTTCCTGACTTAGTGTTATTTCAATCATTGGTACATTTTTTTCATGATTTTATATGTTCTGCAAGTGTCTTTTCCCTTATAGGCCCTCTGGTAAACTTTTGCTCATTCTATAGGTCCCAAATGAAATACTTTTTTTTTTTTTTTTGAGAGAGAGAGAGAGAGAGAATTTTAATATTTATTTTTAGTTTTTGGTGGACACAACATCTTTGTAGTATGTGGTGCTGAGGATTGAACCCGGGCCGCACGCATGCCAGGCAAGCGCGCTACCGCCCGAGCCACATCCCCAGCCTCTGAAATACTTTTTAATCTGTCTGAAAGAGCAATTCTGATCATGTCCCTTCCTTTAGCAGGCACTCCCTGCCCTTAGGGTAAAGTTCCTTAACATTATTTGGGAAATTTTTCTGAATCTGGCCCTTTTCCTTTCTCTGGCCTTGTTTTTTACTAATTTAGTCCTCATTTTTATCCTGCAGCCATACTTAGCAATTTATAGTTCAGTGCTAGGTTCCTTCTCTATTCCTAGCCTTTATAATACCTGTTACCTTTTATTGGAGTATATTTATCATACTTACTTTTTTAGTGGTGCTGGGGATTGAACCCAGGGACTCATGCATGATAGACAAGCACTCTTATCACTAAACTATACCTCCAGTCCCTATCATATGTAGGCTTTTTAAAATCTGCTTTTGTCTTCCTGAGTTTAGATATCTAGAAACTCCTAAACACCAGACTAGGTTAGATGATTCCTTTTTGTATATCTACATAGCATTTAGTATTTATTCAAATTGTTGCATTTATCACACTTATAATTGCAGTTTTGATTGTCTCTGTCCCCTAACTATAGGATCCTTGATGGTAGGGATCATATCTTGATATCTCTCATGGCTTGTATACCAAGTTATTCCCAAGTCTAGTTTAGGAGAGACTAATTTTATGGGGGGAAATGATGACTTCCATTTTAAGACCTGTTTTAAGTTCTCTGTGGTATATCCAGTTGGATCATGTCTAATAGACAGTAGTGTATTAGGATTAAAGCTCAGGAGATAGGTCAGATCTGGATTTGGGAATCATCAGCAAATCTGATCATATTCTCCCCAGGCTCTACTTTGGATGACTATGCATTATATAATGTACAGTGTGGTTTATAAAGTCTTGTATAGCCTGGTGTTTGTTTCTCCAGCATCTTAAATATCCAGGCAATTTATATTTTTTTCTATACATTCTGTATTCTAGTTATATGAATGAATTTTACTTTCCTGTATCTATTATGTGCTATTTTATTTCCAGGCTCTTATACCTTTCTTTTTTTTTAAATTTTTTTTTTTTAGTTGTAGATGGACACAATACCTTTATTTTATTTATTTGTTTGTTTGTTTGTTTATTTATTTACATGTGGTACTGAGAATTGAACCCAGTGCCTCACACATACTAGGCAAGTGCTCTGCCACTAAGCCACAAACCTAGCCCATTAGGCCTTTATACTTTCTGCTTCACTCTGGAACACTCTTCACTGACTCTTTACCTTATCATCTCTTATTTATTCTTTAGGTCTAAGAACAGACATCTCATTTTCCAAGAATAATTCTCTTTAACTCTTGGGCAGATCTCCATTATGTGCTTCTTCTATGTCCCCAGAGTTCTATATACTCCTTTAACTTCCTCATCATCCTGTTTTCCATGCAGCACTGTAATTCCATGCCCTGTGATGCCTAAGAAGGCAGGAACTGATGGTTTTCTCTTTTGTATCTTCAACATGTAGCATAGTAACTGGCTCAAAGTCGATATTCAAATGTTGAGAATTTGTTTTGCAATATTAAGAAAAAGAAAGGAAAACTATATGGTCCATTGGGACTTAATTTTAATCATGTGTCCCTTCACATATGTCATTTCTTATTCCAGTCTTAAGGTACCAATTATGTTTTTGCACAAGGCTAATCCACATGCCGTTTTACTGTGAAGCTACAGTTAAGACCTTCTTTTAATTTCTTATTCAGTTTAACTTGAGAGGAACAGATGTATGGGGGGACAGGAAGAGGAGAATAGACTGAATCTGTAAATAATGTGGTATTGGCAGTACTGAAATTACTTATACATACATAGAAGATAAAAGTGTTGCTTATAACTACAGTAAGTTTTATATCTTTTATTCTACAGTTATTTGTTTCATTACATCTGCCAAGACAGGATTGTATATCTTTGTATCACTGATGATGTAAGTAACTTAAAGACATATTGCTATTTAACTATGTGTACTGTTAATATAGTCAGTTCTTAATTACATATACCTATGATGGGTAACAGTGATGCAAACTTGGCATTGCTGGAAATTTTTTCAATACTTTTCATTTGTCATATACAGCAGCATGTGACAAAACTTGATAACCTGGGTATGTACAAATCAGTTCAGTTTTGGTATAGTTCTAACTTAATCTCTTGTAGCTTCTACATTTATCCTATTGTGTAATGAGAATTGGTTTTATAATTAGGATTCTTTGGCATCAGAGTTTCTCAAAAAATTGTTCAACTGGAATATTAAAAAGATTATTTCATTCCTCAAGTAGTTAATGAATTTTTAATGTACCTAGACTTTGGAAAAATAGAATCACAACACATTATGATCGGCTATGTAAACTTGTATTTTTACATTGGTTAGTTTTTTTTTTCTTTTTTGAGTATTTGTTGACTCTAGACCCAAAATACTCAGTAACTTAATGATGTCATCAAGAATCTTTCTCTCTTCTGCTTTCCTCAGTGTCAGTTTCTTTCTAGACAGGTTCCCCTTAGGGTTGCATGGAGCTACGTGCTTATGTATTCATATACAGAGAAGATGGACTATATACTTGTTTCTCTTATTGTAGGAATGAGAAAACTTTTCCTAGAGGCACACCGTCCCCTCATCTCACTTTGAAAGTGAGCTTACTTTCATGTCTTACTGTTCACATGCTCATCTTTAAACTGTTCACTGAGTAGAGTCATGAAATTGGCATGATTGCTGTAGATCAGTGTTCCTAATCTTTATTGTCACAGACTCCTTTGTCACCTGTGAGCCCTGCTCAGAATGTCATTAAATGAATGAAATAGACACATATGATTCCAAACAAAACCAAATATATTGAAAACAAAATACACACACACACACACACACACAAACTATTCAGGATTTTTAAATTTTTTTTCAGTTGCAAGTGGACACAATTACCTTTATTTTGTTTATTTATTTTTTAAGTGGTGCTAAAGATTGAACCCAGAGCCTCACACATGTGAGGCAAGTGCTCTACCGGTGAGCCACAACCCCAGCCCCTTCAGGATATTTTTTTTTAAATATATTAATATGGATACTCTAAGAACTCATTATTAAGACTTTGCTGTGGGTCTAATAGCTAATAATAATTTTGAAATGATGATGAGTGTAAATGATATTTCAAGATATCTAGAAACCTGTGATGGTATATGAAAAACAAAGATTTCTATAGGTGACAAAGTTACAATTTAATACTACTCTGGTTACCTACGTTGACAATTGAAATTTGAGTTAAAGTTTAGGGAAAATAATAGTGCAATTTTTTTCTATCTAAGTCCGGTAGCCCCTTGAATTTTGTCTACTGATCCCAGTTTAAGAACCCTTGACTATGACTAAGTATCTTGGGTGAAATGGAAATGATTGTCAACCACAGTGATCATCACAGTGATTTTTAGCCTTGGTTTCACAGTGTTTTCTAAAATTAGAAAAAATACAAATATATCTGAAGTAAATGATGTGAAAGCTTGGAGTAGATGGAAATATCAGAAGGCCTGGAATGGTCAGATTTGAACCTTATATTGAGCTATAGTTGTCTACATGCTGACACATGCACACACACACACACATGCATACACGTACAAATACACTTTTTGACTGACTGGAACTAGACAAGTGTAGGTCACTTGACCCTTTCAAATGTGTAACCACTATTAGAAAATATCAATTCAAAGTTCCTATCAATAGTGTTATCTTTGAAAGACTATTATTATTATGAATTTATTGAACATATTCTTATGCTGGACTTTCTAATAGATGAAAGATATGGAGGAAGTAAAACCTAATTCCTGACCTCAAGAAGTTGATAACCTAGGAACCATTATCTTCTGCTGGTAATAACCAGACAGACATATTTGGATTTGATTCTCACCTCTTTCATTTGCTAGTTGTTGGAACTTCAGCAAGTTAGCTATCATTTCAGAGGTTTTTCTTCCTTATTTATAAAATGGGATCAGTGCTAGGTTCTCCTTATAGTCATTACTCAATAAATATTACTGCTTTTTATTGTTTTATTGCTAATCATCCACATAATCTTTATTTACTTTGTAAATACAAGCTCTATGTTGGGTGCCTTCCAGGATTTTGAACGTTCCCGAGCCTTCAATTTTTTGAATGAGGTAAAGAAGAGGTTCCAGACAACTTATGGCTCAAGGGCACAGACAGCACTTCCATATGCCATGAATAGCGAGTTCTCAAGTGTCTTGGCTGCACAACTGGTAAGATCTTCCTCAGGATATACTATTTTTATTCATATTTTCTTCTTTATTACCTTAAAGCACATGAATATAGGGAGTCTTGACTTGCAATACACTTTTCTGTTTGTTACTATAAGCTAACATAATAAAAAACCCTGTTAAAAATGTGAAGGGGCCATTTTAATATAGAAAGCTAATAATTAATGATATTTTTCCATTAATAATGGCCAGAATATCTCAGGATTAGGAAGAACATTAAAGATCATATTGTTTAAATCCACTCAACATGCCAAGTGGTCTTTTATTCTCTATATAAATTTTCTACCCTTCCATAAGTTAAAATTTAATTTTTTTAAAACTTCACATTAATCACTTGAAAATCTGTTTGTCTGTATAAATCCCTAATGGTCAAATCAGTGATTGTTTACATATGTATATCCCTTTGAAATATCACCAAAGTTAAGACAGACAGCCTTTCCATGCCATTAGGTTTTTCTCATGTCCCTTCCCAGTCAGTCCCCTTCCCTATGCAACCTCTGATCTATTTTCTGTCACTATAAATTAGTTTTGTCTTTTCTAGAAATTCCTATAAATGGAATCATACAGTATGTACACTTTGTGTCTTGCTTGTTTTGCTCAGTGTAAGGTTTTGGATATTCATCCATGTTGTGTAAATCAGTAGTCTGCTTCCTTTTTTGCTGAGTGGTATTGTATGCATATACCATAGTGCGTTTATCCATTTACCTGTTGCTAGATATTTGGGTTGTTTTCAGTTTTCAACTATCATGAGTAAAACTGCTATGAATCTCCACGTACAAGTCTTTGTGTGGACATATGTTTTTGTTTCTCTTTGGTAAATACCTAGGAATGGAATTGCTGGGTCATATGGTAAGTGATGTGTATTTTTTAAATTATCACACTTTTTTCCAAAGTGATTGTACCATTTTACATTCTCACCAGCAGTTCTAGTGTCTGTGCATCCTTGTCAACACTTTTGTCTGTCTTTAATTTTAGCCATTTTAGTGGATGTACAGTGGTATTTCATTATGGTTTTAATTTACATTTTTCGTGATTTCTAATGATGTTTAGCACCTTTTAAGATGCTTACCTTTTATTCATGAAACTATTTGAGTACAAACACATAACTGCTAGCTATGATTCTGTTTTGAATGTGGAAAATAAATACATTTTAATTAAATACTTTTCACTTCTATTAGTGTTCTTTCTAAAATTCTTTTTGAGTACTATACCTCTAAATACATGCATTTGCATGTGTGCCTGTGTGTTCATTTATTTGGAAATGAAATCCCTTTAAATTACTTAATTATAAAACCTTTATCATTTAAGCAGTAGGTTTGTTTCACACTTCCCACTTTGGAATGTTCATATATGTGAAGCTGAGAAAAAGACTACCAACAAAATATATACCAATGCACATTCGAAAGTAAGTAGGGTCAGCTGGCAGAAAAGCTTTCAAATTTGCTGGTTTGTCAGTAGCTCCAGATTTGCATGTGACCCTTTGAGCAAACCTATGTCAGCTTCCCATTATAAATGGAGATAATGGAAGCATCTTCATTATACAGTTTTTGGGTAGATTGAATAACATCCCCCTCCCCAGGTTGAAGCATTGAACATATTGAAGTAACTGGAACAGTGTATATTAAATACTCCATAATTGTTAGTTATGTATAATAATTTCAAAATACATATTATGATCAGTGTCTTAGATTCTAGATTCTATGAGAAATAAATGAAAATAGGATGCATGCTATTAACCCCGCAGATAGAACAGATACTAAGAAACTGAGCCTGTCCCTAACTCATCAAACCTAAGAAATGGGGAACAATTTAGAGTGCCTTTTCTCTGTTCTGTTTCTTCTACCCCAACTATAGTCTTCTTTTTTTCTCTTCTCTTCCTTGTCTGAAAATAGATTACATATTCTTTCACTTCTGCCCCATGAGTATCAGGTGTGTATTTGATATGTTATAATACATTTTATTTTATTTTATGTAAGATGCTGTTTTTATACTGTAACAGTTATATTTCACACAGAAGCATTTTTATGCTGCCAGTATTTTCCCTCGGTCTGATACCATTTTATAGTGAAGCAGAATATATCTTTTATGTAATATAAATTTTATAGCATTTCTCAATATAAATTATCATTCTTCTTGCTTTTATTTTCCTATTGTAAATAATGTCTGGGTGCCATAGGTTAAAACTTATTCTCTTATAGAAGCATCACTCTGAGAATAAGGGCCTAGACAAAGTGATGGAGACTCAAGCCCAAGTGGATGAACTGAAAGGAATCATGGTCAGAAACATAGGTATGTTTCAATGGCATAGTTTCAAGCATATGGACAGAAATGATAATGGATTACTTGATTATGATCAAATTGTTCTAGAGAAGCTCAAACAGTGCTTTCTGTTATCACTATTAGAAGATAATTGAAATATGGCCGAGACATGGAGGTTATTTACCTATGGTACTATCTGCTTGTATGAATGGTTTTATCTTAGTATTCATGATTGTTATTCAATCTAAATTTATTAGTTTGCTTAAGAAGACTAAATTACAAAAACCTTATTTTAGCAATTTAGAATAATTTTGTCAGTTTTGTTTGGTGATACCCAGACAACTAATATTATCAGTAAATACTTTAAATATAACTATTTGACCTTCCTAGGGAATTTGTGACTCTTGATTGAAAGAAAAAGAATTGGGGCAAAATACTGTTGTATTCTTCAAAATAAGATGCTTTGCATGTTAAAATAATCCAAAGAGATGTATCATATTTATTTTTAATTGATTTATCAGTGATATTTAAATTTAAGATGATGTTAGTATTTAGCAGCATCAACATCGCCTGGAAGCTTATTAGAAATGCAAATTTGGGGACCCAAACCAAACCTGCTGAATCAGACATTCTGGGGATGCAGTTCAGCAAGCTGTGTATTCACAACTCTCTAGGGGACTCCAATGCATATTCAAGTTAGAGAGCCACCCTTTTAAATATATCTTCTAAAAGTAATATTTTTACAGAATTGAATGAAGTCATTATATAACTGCTTTATATTTGAGACATGGTCAAATATTATAAATGTCTATTCATAATTTTTGATTTACTATTTGAATTACTTTTACATTTATTCTTAGAACAGTTACAAATCATGAAAACCATTTTAAAATTTTACTCCAAGTTTTATTTTTCTTAAGATTCATTTCCATTGTTTCCTTTTAAATTTTTATCCCCAGTTATACTTAATATAGTTTATATTCAGTTTTGTGGAGGCAGTATAGTAAAGTGGCTAGATTTAGAGTCATATGCCTGAATTTTAGTTTTAATTGTATTTCCTGCCAGCTGTTAGCCTTTTAGCAATCCTCTAATTTCTCTAAGCTTCATTTTCTAACCTGCAAAAAAAAATGCTGATAATAGAACCTAAGATTACAAGGATAAATGAGATAGTATATAGAAAGAACTTTGTACAGTGACTGACATATAATAAGAATTGAATAATGGTCAACTATTTTTAGGTCACTTTATCCTCATACAGTATTTCATTTAGGTAATATATCACAGTTTACCTAACCATGTCCTTATTTTGGACACCTAGGTTCCTTAGAGCTGTGTTACTCAGAGTGCTGTTTTGCTACTAGATAAGGAGCTTGATGAAGGATGTAAATCAATGCTGTGTCTTGCTGTGAAAGTAATGTCAATTGGACTTAATAGTGTGCTTAGACTTAGTTAAACCACTTTCAAACATTCTTTAAATAGTACTGATTAAGAGATCTGCATTAAAATAATAGTGTTTAATCTTTTTTTGGCTTGAGATTAATTCCTAGGAATAGGATTAATAAAATACAAAACCATTTTTGTTTCTTTGTATGTGTCTTGACTAAAGTGATTTCCCCTTTGATTTTAGTTTTACTAATATATTTAGACAGAGACTAGAATATCTGTCAAGAGAACTACTAAAGCTTCTCACTTTTTCTTTGTCACCAAATGTATGTATTCTGCCTGAAAAAGAAGGTTGACCACTACTACAATATCATTTATTTATTGCAGATGCATAAAATTTCCAGCAAATCACCCTTTTTTATTTTGTTCTAATTAGTTATACATGACAGTAGAATGCATTTTAACACATTATACATAAATGGAGTATAATTTCTCATTCTTTTGGTTGTACATGATGTAGAATCATCTGTAATGTAATCATATATATATATATATATATATATATATATATATATATATATATAAATCAGCCTTTGTAGTCAACTTCTAAATGACTTGTTTTTAGAGGTATAGAAACAGCAAATCAGAAATATAGAAAACATATTTGCAGTTATTTTCCTTTGACTTTTGTAACTGCATAATTGAATATTTTCATATCATGTAATTCACCCACTTAAAGTATACAATTCATTGTTTTTTATTATATTCACAGAGTGGTACAGCCATGGCTGCAATTTAGAACATTTTTATCACCCTGAAAAGAAACGCTGTACACATTTTCAGTCACTCCCCATTTCCCCTCAACTCCTAGGCCCCAGCAATGATTAATCTCCCTTTTGTTTCTATAAATTTGGCCTATTCTGGACAATTTATATAAATGGAATCACATGTGACATTTTGTGTCCTGGCATCTTTCGCTTTACCATAACAATGTTGAGAGTCATTTATCTTGTAGCATCTCTCAGTACTTCATTCATTTTTATAACTGATTAATATTCCCTTATCGATTAATGGTCATTTAAGTACTTTCCATTTCCTGGCCATTATTAATAATGCTGCTGTGGACATTTGTGTGCAAGTTTTTGATTGAACATGTTTTCAGCTATCTTTTTTTTTTCTTTTTCTTTTTTTTTTAATTTTTATTGTTGGTTGTTCAAAACATTACATAGTTCTTGATATATCATATTTCACACTTTGATTCAAGTGGGTTATGAACTCCCATTTTTACCCCGTATACAGATTGCAGAATCACATCAGTTACACATCCATTGATATCTTGAGTATATATACATAGGAACAGAATTGCTGGGTCTCATGGTAACTCTGTTTTACATTTTGAAGAAGGGCCAAATTTTCCTGTATATTTCCAGTAACAATTTATGAGGTCCAACTTCTCCATGTCCTTGATAAAATGTATTACTAAATCTAAGCTTGTGTGAAATGGTATCTCCTTGTGTTTTTAAAACATATTTTAGTTGTAGATAGACACAATACCTTTATTTTATTTATTTATTTATTTTTATGTGGTGCTGAGGATTGAACCCAGTGCCTCACATGTGCTAGGCAAGCGCTCTACCACTGAGTTACAACCCCAACCCTCATTGTGTTTTTGATTTGTGTTTCCCTGATGGCTAATGATGTTGAACATCTTTTTATGTACTTAGAGGCCATTCATATATTTTCTCTCTTTGCATAAATATCTATTAAAAAATCCTTTGCCATTTTTAAGAGGATTATTCGTCTTTTTATGGTTGAACTATAAGAGTATTTTATATTTACTAGGTAGTACACCCTTCAGACACACAATTTACAAATGTTTTATCCCATTCAGTGAGTTGTTTTTCTACACTTTCTTTATGGTGTCTTTTGAAACACAAAAGTTTTAAATTTTAATAAAGTCTGGTTCATTTTTTTCTTGTCATTTCTAGGAATATAATTGCCTAAGCCAAGGTTACCAAGACTTAAATCTCAAGAGTTTTCTCCCAAGAGTTTTATAGTTTAGTTCTTACATTTAGATCTGTGATTTATTTTGAGTCACTGTGTGTTTGGTATAAGGAAGTAGTCCAAATATATATATTTGTCCCAGAGCCATTTGTTGAAGAGTTTCTTTCATCATTGAATGGTTTTAACACTCTTATGGAAAATTAGTTATCCACAAATGTATGGCTTTATTTCTGGACCTTTGGTTCCGTTCCATTTAACTTTATGCCAGTACCATACTCTCCTGATTATCATAGCTTTGTAATAAGTTTTAAAATCAGGAAATATTAATTTTTCAACTTTGTGTTCTTCTGAAGATGGCTTTGGCCATTCTGGGTACTTTTATTTCTCTCTGAACTTTAAGGTGAGCTTGTTTGTTTCTGCATAACAAAACAAACAAAAACTATCATGGATTTCAGTAATTGTGTTGAATCTGGGAGTTTCGCTATTTAAACTGTTAAACTTCTGATCCATAAATGTGAGACATCTTTGTATTCATTTACATCTTTATTTTTTTCAACAATGTTTTATAGTTTTCAGTGTAAAAGTCTTACATGACAAAAGAGACTCTGTTTGACTAAGCTTCAGGCAGACTTCTCTGAGCCTACTCACTATTCAGCTAGGCTTCATCCTTGGGCTCTGTCCTTGGCCTGCTTAAAGCAAGCCTTAAAATGACTCCTGCTAAGTTAATATTCCACCCTTGATATCTGTGACCCTAATATCTGATCAAGTTCCTCATCCCCTACATTTAATATATAAGTCTGGCTCACTCTTAGCAAGAATCCTGTTTTAGAACAATTTAGCAAGAACCCCCTTGCCCGTGATGTCTCTTCTTAGTAATTTTCCATCCACTAACACTATATTGTGTACACTGGCGATAGATTTTCATTGCCCTTATGAGTTGAACTAAGACCCCTCTTGCAATAGCCTTAAATAAAATATGTCCTACAATTTTTTCCGTAGTTTTACTGGTGTGTTATAGTTGTACATAATGATGGGATTTGTTGTTATGTACTCACACATGTACTTAATATAACAGTATAATTTGGCCAGTATCATTCCTTAGTATTTCTCCTTTCCATCCAGGAATCATTTCCAATAAAAGAATATTAAGTCTTCATTCCATACTTTAACAAAGGTGCTTATATCATTAATAAATATTAATTTGAAAGCCTTAAGATGAGAATCAGGCACTAAGTTTTTGGCAAATTGGCAATAAAAATACAGAATGTTAGTGGAACACAAAACACAAAACCTCTGATATTAAGCTTAATACAGGTTCAAGACATAAATTCCAACCAACAGCTTATAGACCATGTGGAAGATTAGCTCACCCTTGGTTGTAAAGGTACAAGACTATTCATAAGCCCTCACCAGCTTTCATAACTTCTTGAACATAATCCTTTCCTGAGATCTCCAAAACTTTGCCAAATTTATTTTTCAGTCAAGTTGCTTTCCACTCAGCCAGTCTTTGTTGCCTATACATTTCAGTAGCCCATTTGTCTTCCTCATTAAATTTATCTTCATTATCCTTTCTCTTTTCATATGTTTGCACCACTGACTGCTAGAGAATTTGCTGCTCCTCCTTTTCCACCTTCTCCAATTCT